GAGGTGGATAGACCTAGAGTCTGTCATACAGAGTGAAGTAAGTCAGAAAGAAAAAGACAAATACCGTATGCTAACACATATATATGGAATTTAAGAAAAAAAAATGTCATGAAGAACCTAGGGGTAAGACAGGAATAAAGACACAGACCTACTAGAGAATGGACTTGAGGATATGGGGAGGGGGAAGGGTAAGCTATGACAAAGCGCGAGAGAGGCATGGACACTACTAAACGTAAGGTAGATAGCTAACGGGAAGCAGCCGCATAGCACAGGGAGATCAGCTCGGTGCTTTGTGACCGCCTGGAGGGGTGGGATAGGGAGGGTTGAAGGGAGGGAGACGCAAGAGGGAAGAGATATGGGAACATATGTATATGTATAACTGATTCACTTTGTTATAAAGCAGAAACTAACACACCATTGTAAAGCAAGTATACTCCAATAAAGATGTAAAAAAAAAAAGGATAAAGGGGTTTTGCACTAAGGCCCACCTGGTGAACTCCTACGTGTCCTCAAGGTCAACTCAGTATCACCATCTCTGGGAGACTTGCTTAAACCTTCCAGGTGGTTTTGTGCTCCTTCTTAGGTACGCTGTACAGCAACAGTCTCCAACATTTTTGGCACCAGGGACCGGTTTTGTGGAAGACAATTTTTCCACCGACAGAGCAGGGAAGATGGGTCAGGTGGTAATGTGAGCAGTGGGGGGATGGGTCAGGAGGTGATGCGAGAGATGGGGAGCTATGGGGAGCGGTAGATGAAGCTTCACTCGCTTGCCCACCGCTCACCTCCTGCTATGCGGCCCGGTTCCTAACAGACCATGGACCAGTACCAGTCTGCAGCCCAGGGGTTGGGGCCCCCTGCGGTACATGACTCTGTAATAAGACTCAACATGTTGTGAGGTATTACCTGTGTGTGCGTGTGTATCTCCAGCTAGACTGTGAGCTCTATGAGAGCAGGAATCAAATCTTACTGATTTCTGTTTCCTTTTTAGAAAAGCCCTTGACACACAACAGGAGCTTAAAAAATATCTGATGAATGAATGAGTAAATAAATGCTCTGCAATTATCACTGAAATGTATTTTTAAGCTCCAGGATTCCCTTGAGGAGGTAATTTTATCCTGTTCTTGGGTAGATGATTACATGGCCCTATATAACACTTTCTACAACAATTTGAGCCACTTCCCTTTGTTGGGTCCTCAGTGGAGACAGAGAACAAGTCAGCACCATCTATGCCTCACTGACCTTGTGGAAGATTCCCAGGTTTGCTTCAGGCTGTAGAATGGTCACCCCAGGAAAGGCAATAAGAAGGATGTCCACTTCAGAGGTCATCCTTTAACACCCTTTCTTTCTCAAACTGGCAGCCAACGCACTGGGGACAGGACAGAAGCAGAGAGGAAGGTGTCACCAAAAGAACCCAATAGGAGTTGGGTAGCAGTTTTGCTAATGAGCTGTGGGTTTTGTCTTTATAATCCCCAGTGAATTGCTGCAGAGACTCGACTTCTCGAATGGCCTGGCAAACCTGGGAAATGAACACACCTCCTGGGGGCTGAGAGTGGGAGGTTGGCCAGATTTAATGACTGAACACAAGAAAATGGAAAAAGAAAATAACCTGGAAAGAGATTTTGTCTTTCCTTAGTTGGCAAGGGGGAAAGGGAGCTATTATTGTTCTGGAGAAGGTAGGGAAGAAAGGAAAATTGTGGTAGTGTCAGTAAGGGTTGGAGACAAGGATCCCCCTTATTCACACTCTCTGCTAATATCAAGGATGTGAGTAGGAGAGGATAACTGAGGAAAAGGCTCCTTGGAGCCTCCTTGGAGGTGGAGACATAGGCAGGATTGTCCTCATGGAGACCAGTGATCCCAAAAGAGGGGACCTTTTGCCTGAGCCCCCAATGTGGCCATAGAACATAAAGTTTCTTGACACCTTGGGTAATCCAAAGTGACGTGGTGGAAATTCAAAAGTCTGGGTTTGTAAAGGGTTCTCTTTACCAGTGCAGCCAACAGTAATCTGTGATACTGTTTTCCTTTGATAAAATCACTATTTCTATAATCATGAGTCTAAAGAGTTTGCAAAACCTCTCACAATCTGACCTTTGCCCACCTTTGGAAGTCCATATAAGTCATTCGAACGTGCAGTTCCCCTCGTGTGTCAAGCTGTATGTTCCCACCCCTTGCAATGGCTCACATCCCTGCCACCTATTGGACCTCTAGACATCCTTCAAAACTCAGCTCAGATGTCTCCTCCTCTGTAAACCCTCTCATGATCTCCACAGGTAGAGATAAACGCTCCTCCGACACACTAGCCATTGCAGCATTTTCGTGAGGCTACAATTGTTTGTTCACATGATTGTCTTCCCCATCTGACCGTGAGCTCTTGCAGAGTAGGGATCACACACCTTTGTATTCCCAGCATTCAGGACTTAGATATCTTAGACTCTAAACAAGTTACTGATAAATTTATTAAGTATCATTTAATCAAAAAGTAAACAGCTGTCTAGGTAAAGGGATGTCTTCATGATCTGAGTGGACTCGAAGTTAACCTCCCCCCAAAATAAATCAGCTCTTGAATATCAGGAACATCACAGCCCAGAGAGATACATGTTACATTAGCAAATCTCTTAGACTGTTTTTCATAGGTAGGACCAGGATGCAAAAGTTTGAGGACTGTTAAATACTTACCCTATGACCCATCAATTTCACTCCGAGGTTTATACCCAAGAGAAATGAACATGCATGGCACAGTTACACATAGCACCTTTATTCATAATACTCAAAAACTGGAAACAACCCAAACATCTACCAACAGGCAAGTAACTAAACTGTGGTATGTTCATACAATGCGATATGAATATTACCCAGCAATAAAAAGGGAAAAGCTATGAATACATGGAACAACATGGATGAATCTCAAAACAATATGTTGACTAATTATTCCATTTATATGAAGTCAAACAATAGGCCGAAAAAAATGTATCTACAGTGGTTGTCTTGAGTGGGAGGATTTGACTAAAAAGGGGCACATGGGAACTTTCAAAGATTAAAAAAATGTTTCGTATCGCGATTTGAATGATAACCCAGGTGTATGTACTTATCAGAAATCATTGAACTTAAGATCTGTGCATTTTACTACATGTAAATTATTCTTCAATAAAGAAAAATGTTTGAGGATTACTGCTATATAAAAACCATGCACTTCAAAAAGTAATGCTATACACATTTTCCCTTGGGAGATGGGAAACCTGGAGTATTGCTCTGTTCAAGACGTCACCTCATAAGAGAGAATATATGGCACTATACCCAGCATAACGGCAGTGCAAAATACAAACCCTTTTAAAAATGACAAACTGTCAGTCTATTAAAGAATCAAAGAGGAAAAAGTGTTGTTCAAGAGTCTTCATTAAAATTTCACTTTTGCTTGCCTGTCATAATAGATCTTAAATCAATTCTCTGATGATGAATTGACTATTATAATATTGCCTATTATTTTTAGCCTCTTTTTTATGGAAGTGGAGAAAAATACTTTAACTTGAGGAGGCAATCAGGGAAATGTAATTGCAAATGACAGCGAACAAAGGCATTTTATGAAGCCAGAATGAACTAAGAGCTATGAGGCATGTGTCCGGTAGCTCAATAAGAAAATGCTTTCATTTTCAACAATCTGCACAAAGACTTCAACTGGCATCAGTGGGCAACATATTTACCCAAAACCTATTATCTTACATTTGCTCCTAGGACTCAATTCAGTGTTTCTCAGCCTTTAATACTAAACACCTCCTTGGTGCCCCAGTAAATACAGCAGATTCAGGAACTCCTTTACGTGTACACACACACACACACACACACACACACACATGCATACATTTATCTTCCACTCACTGGGTGTGCTTTGGAGTTATGTTCCAAACTCTGCCACTCATTAGCTCTAGAAACTTGAGCAATTTATTTAACCTCTGTTTTCCAGATTCCTCATCTGTAAAATGGGATAATAACAGAATGTACCTCAGAATCGTTTACAGGTTAAATATGGGTTTAGCACGGGACCTAACCCATAGTAAGTCTCAGCAAATGCTAGAAGAAAAGCAACCACACAGTGGAACTTTAGAGATGGAAGAGACATTAGACATTATCAATTCATAAATAAGGTTACTGATGCTTAAAGAAGGAAATTGACTTCCTAAAATCATGCAGATATGTGATGACAGAAATGGTATTAGAACAGAAATTTCCTGACTCCCAGACCAATGCTTTTTCCAAAATCCCTGCTCTTTTCTCTTCTGTCCCCCAACTCTTACTATGCCAGGTACCCATGAATAAGAAGACCCTGTGATGAGCAGAGTCAAGAGACACATATTCTACTCCCAGACTGACATCTCCCTGAACTTCTGATTTCTCTTCTGTAAAATGAAAGGATTGGACACATATGATTGCAAAGATTCTGACCAGCAATAGCATTCTGTGAGCCCATTAGCAAGTCTAAACCCTGCACCATTTCTATGGGTGAAGAGTGGGACAGGAATCACTTACACCACAATCTACAATCTTCTGCTCTGACTGATCACTTTGTAAAGTTGTCCAGCCTTGCGCTCACCGCCTTGACATCTCCCTCCAATGTTTTCACCCTCTGCCTGGAGCAATGTGGGCAGCAATGTAATGAGCACAGGTGAGGTAGGGAAAGGAGATCTAGGGAGGTTCTCTAGAAGGAGACGTGAGGGTGTGTTCCTCGTGCCTGATAGTCTATACAACAGGCATCTAAATTAAAGAGCAACCAGCAGTTCTATAAGGGCACATATAACGCGTTTTGCGGAAATAAGCAGTAGACAAAGTCTGAGAACTAAGTTCAATTCTGACTCCAGGATAATGTGTTCCTCGTCTTCCTCTACCATGAAAAAAGTGCTCATTTAAGGTAACAAGTTATGTACACATGAATTTTATAAGAACTGCCAGGTGTAGAAAGCATGTGAATGTCATAGGTTAAAGGAAGAATAGAGGTGAGCCAGACCACCGTGATGAGACAGAAGAAGCCAACTCGTCATCCTCTCCACTGGCTTTTAGATAACTTAGGACAGACCCAGATTCAAAGCCGAGCTTCCAAAGAAGCAAGTTGTATAGAAGAGGCTGGCAGAGAAGACAGCACAGGACAGGTAAAATGAATGGAGGTGGGGGGAAGGAAGCAGAGAAACACAGTCTGTCCTCTGGGCAGAACTGGGAGCATGAAATAGCTGCCTATCTTGTCCCGCAATTCTTTTTTCCTGTATACCGCACGTAGCCCATCATGTCCAAGGGCAGTGCCAGAGGAGTTGACCCACATAGGTGGGAACAGGTGGTTGATCAGGTCATCACACTTGAAGTAAAAGTAAGGACACTGAATAGTCCTACCCTTCACCCAGAGAGAGGACATTACAGGCATCTCCTTCATAGGATGAACAGAGGAAGGAACTGAGGATGCTTAGCTCAGAGAAGAGGTCAATTGAAGCAAAGAAGGAAGCTTCGAACATGAGAAGGGCTAAGCCATGGTGAAGGAGAGGAGTTACTTCTCCTTAACTAGAATGAACATAACTCTCATTGTCCCTAGGACAGTACTGGCTTTGTCTGTTGACCCAGGGCCAGTTTAGCCTTCGTCCTATTGGAAACATTTTTATTAAAGCTGCATAAAGATAACTCAGAATGGGTTTGGTAGACTTCCACTTTGTACTTCCGCCTTCCGCCTTAATTTTCATTTAACTTTGTGTAAGACCTATATGCAATGAACAGAGATCTAACTTTTACACATGGTTTCCAACTGAAAGATGATTAACAACCCATCTCTCTTTCCCAGACTCTTTCCAGAGACAATGTAACCAGTACCTCCCTTTCAAGAACAGCATGCAGGGTGCTCACTCACCCATATGATAAACGACATTCGTATACAAACACAGGAGAAACTACCCATCTCAGGTGTGGAAGACAGATTCAGCATTGCTCCCTCTACTGGCAGCTTGGTGGACTGGCCCCTGAGATGTCTGGATGCACAAAGACGGCACACCCCCCAGTTCACCAAAGCAGGGGTTCCCAAGCCCCAGGCCTTGGACCCTGGGGCTGTTAGGAACGGTCCGCACAGGAGGTGAGTGGCGGGCAGGCGAGCGAGCGAAGTTTCATCTGCCGCTTCCCATCGCTCCCCATCGCTCACATCACCACCCGAACCATTCCCACCCCCACCTGCACCCACGCCAGTGGAAAAAATGTCTTCCACGAAACCGGTCCCTGGTGCCAAAAATGTTGGGGACCACCGCACCAAAGAGTGGGAAATGTGGGAAATTTAAAGCGGACTCTGGCCTGTCCTGCCATAGACTACAACACAGAAAGTAGTCTAAACACCCTACTCCAGTGTTTTTGCCATTTATTGTAGGGAGTTTTATTATTATTTGCTTATTAATAAAATAATAAGTACTAAATTTCTATTTTTCAAGAATGTTAAGAGTTACCATCCACCGTGGGGGCTACAGTGATGTCACTGACCACATGAAAACCTGAAGACACGAATCTCTGAAAAGAGTCAGCGTCTACTTCAAAAGTTATTTTCAGAAGACTGTGCCCAAAGATAAAGGTTTAACACTTCCAACTGCACAAGATTTATTTATATATCACGCTGTGAGACACAACTTTTGATCTAGATCAAATGACTGTTCTTCTAAATTAATTTCACTTATTTTATATTCCAAATGTTTCTGGGCATATACCAAAAATAAAGAGAAGGCTGCATGGATTGACTCTGTAAGCAGAAAAACTTCACAGTTAAAAACTGTCAGTTTTCTATCAGGATCAGGACTGAAGTTTCAAAGAGAAAATCAGTTAATTCCAAAAATAGCTCTAATATTTTCAATATTTCTACTCATCTCACGAAGAAGTTCAACAGTGGGTATTAAAATTTCTATGGTGGAAATATAAGTTTCAGAGGACAGTGTCATGGTCAAAGCAATATTCTTACTAAATTAAGGAACCCATGGAGAGAGCAGCTGAAAAGAAAACCTTGATTAAAATCCATGTGTTCTAATCATGCTGTATCAATGGCTGTTCTGATAAGTCTGATATATTTCCTAGTACAAGCAACAAAAAATATATAGGTACAACCTATGGAGCAGAAATGACTTGGCATTGATTACAGTATAACATAATTCATAATTATGTCCAAATAAGTTGCAACATTCCACCAACAAAAATGTAACTATAATGGTAAAATTTACTAATTTTTTAATTTATATACATGGTTACAGTCATTGAACTTGAAAAATTTTTAATAAAGTTGGTGTAAAATCCAAAAAAAAAAACTTTGCTAATGAATTAGAAAACACGTTCATGTTAATTATTTGTAGCTCCTTTCACTTTCAAAACTCCTAATTTTTCTCAGAAGTGTCCTGATGGGCACCCCATCTAAAGCTTAGGAGAACAAAATGAATACAGTTGGAGGAAGGTGGTAAGAGGCAGATTTCAATTCAAAGCAAGAAAGAGCTTTCTTATAATCAGAGGTATTTGACAAGAGGGAGCACAGTGTGGTAGGAAGATGACCTAGCATAATGTCCAGCGTGGTAGCTGATTTCATTATTGACGATGGAATGGGCCACTTGAAAAGGCCATGTGCTCACCATCACTGGAAATGTTTAAACACTATCAGTGAAGAGAACTGCTTGAATTGGAGGAGGATCCAGAATACCTCTGAGGCTCCTTCAAACTATATGGTTCATTCATTCAACAAATAATCATTGCTGTCTCTTGCACTGCTCACCCTGGAGGTAGCTAGCCGCCGTCGTGAGGGCTCTCACAAAGAAGGTGTGTGAGATGATAAATGTTTGTTGTTTTAAGTCATTAAGAAAAAAAAAAACTGAGTGCCCACTACATGTTAGGCACGGTTCTAGTGGTGGAGAACAGCAGTGGTGAGTCCATGCTGTAACAACTGTATGTGAAAAATGTGAAAATAAGTATCTGAAAATGCTCTGAAAACTGTCAAGTACAACTCAGATGCGAGCTATAATTATGGTTAAATTGAACTATATATTTATGTCTTTATCGTATATTTGATCATTAGTCATACATATAGCTGTTTTATATACATGATTCTAGTCTTCCAGGTTCATGTTTTCAGATTTCTGTTTTCATTTGGGCACCTCTTAATTGGTGTTAACTTGTATTTAGTTTTGTGAAGTCATACTTCCACGTAAGAATGTTCTACCTCCCAGAATAGGTTATATGAATCTCAAGGTCAGGTCCCATCTTCCACCTTCCCACTTAGCCCTCACAGTGTTCAGATCAAGGTTTGGTACTCAGAGGTCTCTCAGGACACAAGGCTGGCTGCACAAAGATACTTTCTTCCCCATTTGGTGAGAATCAAGTCTCAAATCTTTCGCACTTTTTTTTTATAAAGAGTAAGCCCCCTTCTGTGCTCCTTCATTGTTCCTGCCTCCTATTATTTCCCCACAAAATGAAATGTTATTATGACCAGAATTCAGCAAACAAAACTAACACGACTCAAGTCCTTAAAACCCTAAGAGTACTTCTCAATAGAAGTTCAAATCCACTGATGTGCCCAGCAGCTTTTGATTCCCAAAAAGATAAAAACTTGTGCCTTAATATCTAATTCTTTTCCACTCCCCTCAATCATACTAGATCCTTTTATCATTATTTTAATGTTTCTTTGCATAAATGGCTGAGAGCCTTCATTCTGTGCTCTTGAGAGCTGATCTGAATCACACCCACACAGATCATATTGTGTGAACTTGCAATTATTTCCTGTGAATGTTCTGTGAATGTGCTGAAACCAAGCATGAACATTTCCAGCCAAACTGCAATTTTTTTTCAGGACCTTTACAGCAGCCAAGTTCTGAAAGCAGGGAGTTTTAATAGCAGTTTCTAACACAAAACTGTGGATGCTCAATTTGCAGAGGCAAAAGGTTTCCAGTTCCCACATTTATGATTTTAATGTTTAGTAAAACCATACATAGTATTTGATCAACCACCACTCCTCTTCCATTCCCAACAACTGTTACAACAGAAAACTTCCACAACAACTGTAAGGATGCCAGGGGCTCCCCACTGTCTCCTAATATGCACATAACTGGGAAAATATTTGTGATACTATCACTGATGTATGGTTCCTGTTCCCTGGCAGCCACTCCGTTATGATGGTGCAACAGGAGGCGAAAGTCAATGCCACATCAGGAAGGAGAAGAATATGATGTGGAGAAAGGCCCTTCCAGACAGGAAGAGAACATGGAAAGCTTTCCACTTCCAAATCCCAGTACAATACGGGGAGGAGAGATCAAATGCCCGTGATTTCACTGTCCACTCTGAAGTGGGGCTCTGGGAGTAGGAGGCATGTTAGAAACATCCACACAGACAGACACAGTGAAGCACTGGAGCTTTTGGTAGGATTTGTGATTTGGTGTGCTTTCCTGGGCAGAGCTTGGGAAGCCTGTGAGGCTACAGGGAGGGCTTCATCCTAAGCAGCATGGGAAAAAAGTGCAGCCCTGGTAGAGGGAGGAGCCTGGACAGAGGAGCCCTGGCAGTGCTCCTGGCTGCCCAAGGCCTGAGCAAGGCATGCAACCAGCAAGGACCTACTGTATAGCACGGGGAACTATACTCAGTGTCTTGGAATAACCTAGAATGGAAAAGAATTTGAAAAACAAATATATATATATATATAAAACTGAATCACTTTGCTGTGCACCTGAAACTAATTCAACATTGTAAATCAACTATACTTCAATTAAAAAAAACTTTTTTAAGAAGGCATCCAAGGGCTTCCCTGGTGGCAGAGTGGTTAAGAATCCGCCTGCCAAGGCTGGGGACACGGGTTCGAGCCGTGGTCCGGAAAGATCCCACATGCGGCAGAGCAACTAAGCCTGTGCGCCACAACTACTGAGCCTGCGCTCTAGAGCCCGTGAGCCACAACTACTGAAGCCCGCGTGCGTAGAGCCCGTGCTCCACAACAAGAGAAGCCACAGCAGTGAGAAGCCTGCGCACCACAATGAAGAGTAGCCCCCACTTGCCGCAACTAGAGAAAGCCTGCACACAGCAACGAAGACCCAACGCAGCCAAAAATTAATTAATTAATTTTTTTTTAAGTTTAAAAAAAAAAAAAGAAGGTATCCAAGAGATCTGGGACCTCTCACCTGCTCCGGAACAGGGGTTCAGAGACCAGAGGGGACCTGTGAGGAGCTGCAATTAGGACAAAATGGTTGCTGCAGTCAAGGGCTTCATGATCAGAGCCTAAAGCAAGAACTCAATATTGGGGATCTGACCTCCAAATGAGCAGATAGGTCCTCTCCAACAGTAGCACAGGGAATAGACAGATCAGCCATGGCCCGGTGAAGATCAATGAGGAACCAAAGGACACTGCATGGGTCTGAAACTCCCATCTCTCCCCTGCTAACACGAGGTCACACACACCCTACCCTTCCATCTATCTAGGTACCACTTTAGAGTGGGAGGGGCAGGGGGGATGGGCATCTAAAAGACTGAATATTTACCCAAAGGGGACTTAGTCATCCAAGAGAGACTATTTAAACCCAAAGGTACAGAGATAGCATAAATTGACAAGTTTAATTTCCACACTTCCCACTACCTACCCCCACCCAGCTTGAGTGTGGTCTGGTAAAGGAAGATTACATCAGTTTTAGGAAACAAAGAAACTCCATTTGCTTTGCACATCTGTGTGAGGCATGTGAATTTTAACATACCACTATCCACAGTCCTAAGTTCTCCGTTGCTACAGCCAATTTTATTTCACAATGTTATTTCAAATGTTGTATTTTTTGTTCAATCCCAGTAAGATTTCCCTTTTTCTTCTAGGTCTCATCTCATCAAGATGTATCTGAGAAAATTTTGAGAGCTGGTAAAAGATGCCACCAAAAAATCCCAATACTGCCCTGACAAAACCAACGGGGGGACGTCCCCGGACTGCCAGCCATGGGGTCCGAGGGCTACGCTGACTTAACACAATCAGAGGAAGGAAGAAGTGTGTGTGTGCAAGGTTCCAGCTGCCAGTGCCAAAGAGCTCTGCCATTCACCCACTGAAACATTCATAACCAGACTGGGGGCTCCAGGGGTGGCTAAATGTTAAGGGAGACC